ATTTCAATTGTTCAGTTTTTAAAAATAGATATATAACTCTTATTAACTGTTTAAAAATTTAATAAACAGTCTCACAAAATCTTTAAAAAATATTATAAAAAATCTTTATAAACCTTTTAAAAACCCTTATAAACCTTGTAAAAAAACCTTGCAAAACTTGTAAAAAATCCTTATAAACCGTTTGTGTGTTTGCGTATGTTTTTGCATATGCGTATTCTATGAGAATAATCTCCTTTTTTTCAAATTCATGGAATCCAAATCTCAAATCCAATTTGTTATTAAAAAAACTTATCTTAGTAACTAACGTAAGTGTTTATGCTTTTAATCTCAAAAGATATAGAATAATCTCAAAAAGGCTGTAACATAATGAAGAAACAACCAAAATAACTTTAGTTCTATGTCTGGGAATTAAGAAGAAGAGACTAGACATAACTCTTGATCTAAGTCCAAAGCTTAAACTCTCGAAGAAGACATACTTGCAGATCTATGCTTCCTCCTCCTCCTCTTCTTTTTCTAACAGCCACGACTTCTTCTAAGAGTTTGTTTCTCTCCGATTTCTCCGACCACCACTTGACAATTCTCGCCATTTCCTTACACTTTCTCCTCCTCCTTSAACTCCCAATCTTCGATCAACTTTATACGTCTCCCACGGCTGCGATAATACAACATTCACAAATCAATCACACAAATATACTCATAGATCAATCATAAAAACAATATGGAACACAAAGTTGATTAATCTCACTATAACTTACGAAAGTATATAAATCCAATATTTTACGAAAAAATATGGAAAACAATATGGAACACAAAGTTGAACAATATAACCGTATTGGAACATTTTCCTTGTGATACTTGACATTTCTCAATCCCAACATCGTCATGTATCGCACAGTTTAACTGAGGAAAACGAACAACATAAATCTCGTTATCATCGTAGTTATCAACTTTTCGCTTTCGAAATTTTCCTTGAAGGATACGATCGACAATGTAAAGCTCTCCACAACATTCCACCAAGCTCTTCTCACTGAAACAGCCACTAGTGATGTCCTCATCGAGTGAAGGTCCGTACCTGAAGATGCTAAGAGAGGAASAAAACCARTAAGTTTCTCAGACAAAAGCAAGACAAAAGCAGTAGAGCCAATTGACTAGACAAATCCCCTAAACCATCAAAGAAGAGGAAGCGGGAAGGCATTCTCTATAACCTGACGGTGAACTCCTCTGTGTCGGTCACCGCTATGCAAGCTCTTTCAACGACGTTTTTCTCTTTTAAGCTATTCTCTCTCTCATCTTTCAATCTATTCACCTTCGATTGCGACGACCTGTGTAGAATCAACGCACAAATTAAAAAAATGCAAATCTGCAAGTGAAACACAAAAGCATGGTCTTTGGAGATTTGCGAGATTGATAGATCGTAACGTTCGACTTCGCAGAGCTCATCGACACAGAATTTTCTCGATTCCTCAAGACATGGAACATAAGAGATCTCGGCGATGGTTTCTTCTTCATCGAATCGCCGTTTGAGATATTGGTATTATTCTTCATCAAATCTCGGCGACGGTTTCTTCTTCATCGAATCGAACGGAAGAGATCTCGGCGTTTATCTTCTTCATCATCGTATTGAGATCACAAATCAGAGAGAGATCGCAAAGAGATCTGGTAAAATAAAGGTAATTTAGAAATATAAAAAATAGAGAGTGGCATTTTTGCAAAAATTACAAAAAAATGGTATTTTTGTAAAATGGCATAGAGCATGTGGCATTTTTTGAAATTTCTCATTTAAAAATGAGATTTCTCAATAATTGGCGTTAACCAAAAAAATCAGATTTCTTGCAAGAAAGTACTATTTACCTGGTTGATGCTCGAAAACTAATTAAATTCACTTATTCATAACCAGATGATTCCAAAGTGACTATTAGTAATTTTAAATGTATATTTCCGGTTTGAAAAAAATTATTTAATTGGTTCGAAGGAGAAATGCATGTTCTGGGGATTGGAGAAAGGAAACCATAATGGGCCCTGAAAAGATGTCTTAGTGGGCCCACTTCTTTTTGTTCCGACTATGCGACCGGTCAACATCTCTCTCTCCTCGTGTACAGAACAAATAATAATAATCTCTGAGCATAAGAAACCTTGGGAATCTACTGCCTCTATTTCG